CCTGGAATTGACACTGCCGTTGTAGAGTGAAACCGGTTGTCTCCACTCCCAGTGAAACACTCTGCCGCTGGGGAGGAAGGACGAGACACTCGGCTCCCTGTAATGCAGACTGCCGTTGGGGAGTGAGATCAATTGTCTCCACTCCCTGTAGGATACACTGCCCCTGGGTAGTGAGACCTGTTGTCCCCACTCCCTCTAACTCACTCTGCCACTGGGGAGTGAGACTAGTTGTCTCCACTCCCAATAACTTGTATGGCTGTTGGGGAGGAAGGGCAACACGCTTTCTTTTCTGTATTGTACACTACCGCTGGGGAGTGAGACCTGTTGTCTCCACTTCTTGTAACACACACTGCCGCTGGGGAGGAAGGGCGTGACACTTCTCTACCCGTAAAACACATTGCTGCTGGGGTGTGAGACTGGTTGTCTCCACTCCTTGTACTGCACACTGCTGCTGGGGAGTGAGACCTGTTGTCCACACTCCCTGTAACTCACTTGGCCGCTGGGGAGTGAGACCGTTTGACTCCACTCCCAATAACGTGCATGGCCGCTGGGGAGGAAGGACGACACTCTTTTCTCCCGGGACCCCCTACTGCCGCTGCAGTCTCTCCCAACATGCACTCTCGTTTGCCGCTTCTGCCGTGCTCATCAGGTACTCGGCCACAAAAAATTTTTTTGTGTGCTGTATGCTCTTCTCAGAGTGATTGGGTTCATAGAAAGCCAGCCGACTCTTCACCTCCCTGTCAAACTCTGCCTCACCATAGCTGGGCGCCATGCTTGTTCCAAGATGTGCGGGAGTTCCAGGGGTCTTCTGGACGTTCTTCAAGGCTAGGATGTCATCCCACTGCTTGCCTCCAAATGTAGTGGAGCTCCCTACACCTGCGCCAAGAAGACCAAGGCCCGCTTCCTAGCTGGAACAGTGGGGAATTGGCTCTAGTTCTTACAAGGACTTTCCCTGTTGAATTCTCTGTAAGCTGGAAGAGCAGACACAGAAGTAAATCTTCTATCCCTCCAATAACAGGACGACACACAGTTTTGGAGTGCAAGCCGGACCAGATTTTAATGGTGCCACACTTGGCCTTTTATGCAAGTCCCCAAGCAAGGGGTACACCCACATGGAACTTGTTGGGGACAGGGACACAAACTTCCAAACCAATAACACCTTTCCAATGTTCGGCACTACCACAGAAAGCAAACAATCCCTTCCTTCTGCGTTTGAGATAATTGGATCAGATACTGCATTAACCCAATGGAAAAAAAACACACTTTCCAAAAAGGGCAAAAAATACGCCCAAAACACATGATATCCCCCCAAATGTCACATCCCATGATAGCCCTGATCTGGGTGACCAACATTTCCCCAGATCACCCAGGTCAGTTTAGGGGTTCATGAATGTCATGGAAGTAATTTATTTGACCAACTGCAGGCATAGTCCCGTGGCCCCAAACATTTCCATCGAATCCGGGTTTGCGGTTGGTCTAGTTTGTTATTTTGAAACCCAACAAACAACTGAACAGAGTCAATATTCTTACCCTGGAACTTGTTCCCTTTATCCAGATGAATGATCCCACTGACCAGTGCTCTTCTAACTTGTGTAGAAGTGAACGCACGCGATGATGGAAGTCCAGCGGTGTTTGGTAGTGGCTGTAGCTAATTTCATTTGCCGGAGATTCATGCCCAAACACCGCTGCCTGCGTTCATGTGAATAAGATGGCATCAACTTCGTGGTTGTCTATAGGAATTGCGGCCACCCAGACCACCAATTTGAATACTGTGGTGACAAACCAAAAGTTATTAATAGGTGTTAACCATCTCCAGGGTGGTCTCTGTTTCGTGCGGTTGTTCGGCAAGTGAACCGTATAATCCGAATTGCACAAACAGAGATGTTTACATTATTTCCCACAGGGTCCATAGTCTGTGGGCAGGAGGTTGGCAAGTAGGCTTCTCCTGGAGCTCTTGGAAAACTCAGGTAAAAAGGTGAGTTTCTCACAGTTAAGCTTAAGGGTTGGGGTAGGGTATAGGGTTAGTGTGTTAGGGTCAGGGGTTGGGGTGGTTGGGTTTGGGGTCAGGTTTAGGGGGTTTATGGGTAGGGTGGAGGTTTAGGGTTAGTGTGTCCGAGTTAGGGGTCTTTGGGGTTGGTTTGTGGTTAGGGTTAATGGTTAGAGTAAGGGTCGGAGGGTTGAGGTTAGGGCTAGGTGGTTGGGGTTAGTGTGTTAGGGTCAGGGGGTTACAGTCAGGGGTTGGGTCGTGCTTAGGGGTAAGGTGGGGTTTAGGGTTATTTTGGCTAGTGTGAGTTTTGGGGGCAGGGTTAGAGGGTTATGGTTCGGGTTCGGGTGGTTAGGGTCAGGTTTAGGGTGAAGAGTCAGGGTTAGGGTAAGGAGGTTAGGGGTTGGGGTTAGGGTCAGGAGGTTAGGGGGATAGGGGTTGGGGTTAGGGGGCTGGATTTAAGGGTCAGGGGGTTAGGGATACGGTTAGGGGGTTAGGGACAGAGGTTAGTGTTAAGGGGTTAAGGGGCTAGGGTCAGGGGTTGGGTTAGGGTCTGGGGGTTAGGGTGGGAGCTAGGGAGGTAGGGTTATAGGGTAGGGGTTAAGGTGTTAGTGGGTCAGGGTCGTGTTAGGGTTAAGGTTTAGTGTTAGGGGTTTAGGGTTAGGGGGTTGTGGTTATGGGGTAGGGGTTGGGTTTAAGGGTTAGGGACAGAGGTTAGTGTTAAGGGCTTAGGGTTAGGGTGTCGTGGGTTAGGGTAGGGGTTAGGGGTTAAGGTTAGGGGTAGGGTTAGGGTTGGGGATGTTATGGTCGAGGTTAGGGGGGTTAGGGTT